GACACAAGCCTGGGGTCATTGCTGGACAGGAGGCCAATCCATCATGGAGGACATACACACTATCAGCGATTTTAAGAGACCATAATTTTCAGTGGGACATGGAGGGTTTAAATACACAATGACTGACATCTTTTACCATCGCCAGTCCCACCCCTCATCTGACAACCTTTATCGAGAATTTGATTCATGACTTATTGATCATGGAATAATCTGGATGTCAGTGTCTCCTCCCCACTTGGCCAGCAGGTGTCGCCGGTCATCCTGACCTCCTCCCCGTCTCTTGCCTTTCAGCCTCAGTGTGCCTAAGTCCCTAGTGTATTTTCCTTGTTCCCCACACTGCCACATAGTTCCTGGTATGGTTCGAGGCTGGTTCCGGACCAACCTGGAATTACTTATTTGGTTTTCTGTTCCCCAGTGTTTTGATGTATTTTCTATCTTAGTTTCCCCATCTTTTGTTTGCCATCCTTGTGTTCTGTTCTGGTTTCATATTGTACTTTTGTTTCGTGTTTATTTTGTTAGTGTAGTATTTCCCAGTATTTCCATAGTTCCAGGTTTGTACTTCCTTAGCTCTGTGCTTGTTAATTGTTAATTAAGTTCCTCCACTTGTTGCTTGTTACCCTGTGTTCTTGTTGATTGGATGTGGTGGTAATCTGTCACTCCTGCTCCCTTCTTAGATAATAATCTGTTTGTATTTAATTGCCTGTTTTCTTCTTTTGTTAGTCTCTGTGTGCTGTGCAGTCGCTGTGCAGTCACTGTGCAGTGGCTGTGCAGTGTGCTGGTCCCTACTTGTAGCATTCTATGGTTTCTTTAGGTTTGTTCTTGTTTTCCCTGTTGACCTCTCTTGTTTAGCCTTTTGACCTCTCGTGGTCTCTTGTGCCGTCCCCAGTGTATTCAGTTTGTTTTGGAGCTGTGAGGGGTTTGTGGTCATTTTCCTGCCTGCCCCGAGTCCATGAAGCACTTGAGATCCTGAGCACCAGACCAATGGGCCACCTAACCTGCTGACATAATCGGGGGCAGAACTTCTGTCATCCCTGTTTATTGAAAAGTAACTTTGAGATTTGTTTTAATGAAAAGTGCATTATAAATAAAATTTATTATTATTATTATTATTATTATTATTACTTTCAAAAAAGCAGCAAAACCAAACTATCCAAGGGTCTTTCATATAATTATTATTTTTTTTTGAGCAGCAAGACAGTAAAAAGAAATAGAAACAACAATATGCCGTTACGATTTGCACTGACTTGTCCAGTATTGCACTTGTGTTTGTCATTTCCGGGCTTATTATAGTTAAAGTTTCGTTTTTGCTTCATTGTTCCCCCTTGATTTGCACTGTGATTACAATTAATGCCACACTGTACCGTGCTGTCTCTGCTCTTTTTACACGTCCATCAAGGTTGTGTGTGCTGTTTTCCGCTGCAACAATAACAGTGTTCACGGCAAAGGTAAAGCATCCCAAAAATTATAAAAATTCACAATCTAGAGAGGAGAGGATAATCTTTTGTTAAAATATGGGACTGCTGTTAAATGGAAAGCAGTTTGCCACTGGATTCATGTTTATAAATCGTACTTGTTTCTGCTTTCTCTGGTACACTGGTAAACAGGTCTTGTGTCACTGTTAGAATCTTTCACAAATTCGGTGTTGAGTGAAATGTTTATTTTGGCATTTTGAGTGTTTTTGAAAATAGTGTATTAAAATTTGTTTCAGTATTCTGTTAATGCTTTGTGCAGTAATTGTTTGATTTGCTTTTGTTTTCACTGGAGGACACCCAGTGATCCACACATTCTCTTCAGCGTTTTCATATGCAGGATGAAAATGGGTGAGAGCATGCGAGTGACTAACAGAGTAACTAAATAAAAACTAAACTACAACTAAAATTTTTCATAAGATAAAAATGAAACTGAAGCAACTAAAATTGAAAACCAAAATGGAAACTAAATAAAATCCTGAAAACTGTAATAGCCCTGGTCATATTACCACTATGCCTACCCCCTCTGCCCCGTATGGCACAGAAATTACACCTAGTTACTTGAATAAATGTAACAATAGTAACTTGAAACATGAAACTAATTGGTGTAAACTGTAGGTTATGGATGGATGGATGGATGGATGGATGGATGGACACAAGGGCATAACTTTGGGTTGCGCATTGAGGGGGTTGAGATCTTCACCCATTAAAGGGGATCCAGGGGGCTGTATTGGCTGGTTTTGATTAT